CTGTCGACTTAGGCTTAGTGGATGCTACTGTGGGATAGAACTGAGCGAAGTGATTTTATAGATCAAGACTTACTTACCTCTCAGAACTACCCTGCTTCAGGACTTTAGGATGGGTCGAATTACTATTCGTACAAGTGATGATGACAAGGGACGACAGCTATACTAAATAGAGAGTTAAAATGTCTGGCCCTATTTTACGCAGGAATTGTTACAACCATGATCTGTGTAAAACGACAAGTGTTTTATGACATATATGTATTATTAAGTTTATTTGTTTTTTTTTTTAACAACTCTTTAGAATAGTAAAATGATTTAACATGCTTCAACAATTATTCAACATAAATTTTAATCAGTGCAATTATTTTATGTAAAGTCATACGGGTAGAAAAGATGTAACAAACATAATTGTACTTAGGGATATGATGTATAATATGCTAGTACAAATGATGTATACATTGGAATATGTGAATTGAGTCCCGCGGCCTGAGGTTTTACGCGAGCATATGTCAATGTTTACTTTTCAGTACACAAGCTTTACGCTCGCTCAGTTGCTCGCAGGCAAACTCACCCTCTCAACATTGGACTCATCTTCTTTACAGATTCAATGGTCTGCAGAATTTTCTTCCTCGTCTCGACAATAATTATTAGTTATAAAAATAAACTATTGTTTTGTGTTTGTTTCTGTACAATTATTTCCTATCATATTTATCACATTTACACTTTTATTAAATAAAAAAAAAAATTAATCCGCTCTGAAAAAAATGTTGGAGAAAAAATATTACTGATATTGGGATTTGACTGAAAAGAAATCAGGGGGAGGGGTGTTAAAATTTATCCACCCGGTAGTAAAGATTAATTTATAAAGAATTATTTTTAAAAAAATACTCGAAGTTTTTTTGGAGTAATTTTTATTTAAGGCCATATAATTTTTACTCCAAAATTTTTTCAATTTATTTAATTCACGGTTTTTTAAATTACCTTTTATTATTTTATCTTCCAGAACTCCCTTGTATTTTAGAAAAATCCAAACTTCCACATTTTAATTTACCTCACATTTCGATTTAATCCGCTATCCTCAGTCCAATCTGATTAAAATAAAAATATAAATGAATTATTATTTGATAACTTTGAATCCAGAAAAAGTTGAAATAATGAAAGAAAGAAACGTTGTATGTGTTGCGAATAGCAATCTTTCTCACCAATAAGGAATTTACCGGCAAATATTGTGTTCTAAGTAATGACCGTGCAAAAAAGAAAGAGGAGAATAAAGCAGCTCTTACATACAGTTTTCACATCCCCGTAGTTGCGGTCGGGATTTTATCTCATCCCTAGTGTGTCCCTCGAATAGAATGAGTGTAGAAAAAAGAGAAAAAGTATATAAAGCTGGTCGCTTTACGCGGCTGAGACGCTGTCGTTTGTTCGCGCCACAGCAGCCTCCATTTTAAGCCATGTTGGCTGAGGGAAGCCCGCGAGGGACTTTTCTCTCTATTCTCGTTGAAAACTTACATTTTTCCCTTGGGAGTCGATGCCTTTCGCAAAACTAGCGTGCTAAATGTCACAAAAAGCTCAGACTTTATGATGGTTTATAATAATAAAAATTTTAGATAAAAGAAAAAACTTACGTTTGTATGCTCATTTTCTCGTTTTAAAAATGAAAATGGGCAAATTTCTAATCAATTATGTAATTAATTTTTGCAATAAATTATTTTTTATCCTATAAATTTTTTTTTTTTCATTTCAACGTTACTCAGCTTTTACTAAAACATGATATAAATACAACTCAAAAGAATATTTAAATAAAGAAAATGTAAAATTCATAACAAAAAATTACAAATGTTCAAAGCAGGTACTAAAAAAGTAGAAAGAGCAAAAAGCAAAAATTGCAAACGTTGGCGTAAAAGCGAAAAGGATCAGATACGAAGGGAGTGATAACGAGAAACTTAATAGGATAGTCTCTGTCCCTAGTCGATTGGCTAATTATCCACTTGGCAATAATCCGTGGAGATTTCATTCTGTCACGTGAGCTTTTCATACAATCAAACCAACTCATTGCGTGTACGGGGTAGAACCGCGTGCCAAGTTTATATACACTGACATACACAATCAAACTTTTCGTGTGATAATGAAGAAACACACAATCATGCTCCAAATCCATTTTGTATCACGTTATGTATGGCGAGTACGCACTAAACTAAACAATCTCACTATATTTGATGAGACAATAAAAATTCTGTATTAATGGAAGCAAAGGAATATCTACTGTATGGGAAAAGACAAAAGAATCATAAATATTTGAAATAATATATTATTTAATTATCATTATTTCACAAACAGTAAATTAAAATGTTTTTTTTTCTTAAAATATGTCAATTTCAAAGAAAGACTTTCGTTACAAAAAGATTGCCTTTTTTTTAAAGAAAGAGTATATTAAAAATCAAGAAGCTATTTTTTTAGTTATGTAGTTGATTTTTATACCATTTTTACTTTCATATTTTCCAACTTTATGAGAGCAATGGTCTTCTTAAGTTGGAAATCTTCTCAAAAACTTTTTAGTCGAATCGCTTCCAATAAGCATGATCTGGTTCACCACCGATGTGATTGATAAAGCACATCATGTGTCACTCACCGATACAAGCTGTAAGATAAATTTATGGCTATTGAAAAAATTATTGAATAAATTTTTTGCTGATCAAGTTCAAATGCTTCTATAATACAAATATTCATTTTCAATTAAATACCTGTGTTCCATCATCAGATACGTAGTATGCAACTCATACGTTCCAAATCTTTGGTAAAAATGATCTAGCTGTAGGGTATTGTATGAAACCATTGTAATGGTCTTGTACAACTAGTGTACAGGGTTTGGAGACGATCAATGCAAAAGCACATACCAAGTCCAGTGGCAATTCGAAGGAGAAGAGTAGAATCTAGAGAGATTGTTATACCTAAATAAATCGAGATTGTTTGCAGTGGCATCGTTTTACGCATGAGTCCGTGGGTTCTTTATATTCTTTTCTCAATTCAAGTTGATGCCACTTGAGCGAGTTGGAGTGTAAGCGAATGCAGAAGCAAGCGAGATAGCTTGAGGGGTTGGTTGCTCGTAGGTCACCCTCAGGGACTTTGATCTGTGCCGATCTCCGGAACTACAATTCCCTTCAACACTACCATATCCTCCATTTCTCCCACTTTGTGACCACTTCTCGCTTTGCGATGCTCCGCAATTCATTCTCATTTGAAAGAATGACGCTCGTCCTCTAATTACTAGATGCCGAAGTTTGTTTCTGTACAATGAGAATCTGTCAAAGTCGATATATGTCTAGAGAGTAATGGAAAAAATTTTATTCAATTTAATTTATTTCATTTTCCTATTTGTTTTATGTTATTTCTTTATTTTTATTATTTTTCTTATGAACTTGTAGTTTTATTATTATTATTATGAATGCTTTTATAAATGGTGAATTAGAGGAAAATAAAAAGATCACATACAGTTTTGATATTCATGAATATAAACAGAAATATCGACGCACATTTAAGTCAAAGGACTACCAGTCAGGTGATCAAAGGATAAAAGATATCACAATGTTGAGTCCTCACAACCCCTCTTTTTTAACAATCATCTTTTATACTAAACAAGACCATCGTTTCAACTCTTCACTTTTACTCTATATATACAGTCAACTTCGTTTTTTGTAATAATTGTATATTTTTGCATTTTTTCGGCTTTTCAGTGTACTTTATTGCACACATATTGATTTTATTACTTCTCTAATTATCATTTCTGGTCCAATAATTATAGTTTGAATTCATTATTCCTGAAAAATTCTAATATTTAATGAAGCTTTTTTACTGTTAAATAAACATGCTATAAATAAATATCAAACTATATTGCACTCACTTATTTGCATAATACAACTTTTTTTTTATATTGAAATTTAAATTAAAAACGAGCTTCTATATTTCATATAATATTATGGATAACTGTAATAAAATTTGTTTTTCTCTTTTCGTGTCAAGAGATTACTGTTGGAGTTTGGGTGGACTCCATCAAGCAGATTGAAACTGACGAGACTAGCACTTTTCCCCTAGTCAAGCTGCTAGATATGTATTCCTTATCTTTTTCAGTGTATACATAACAGCCACAGTATATGTAAAAACCTTCTACGATACTTTAATAAAATCTATAGGTATACAAATCATACATACACAATCAGTTATGTGTATTTTTGATATTTTTAACCATCAAATAATTCTTTTTTGAAAAGTACCTATATAAATCGGGCAAGCTTATGATGAAAATTCACAAAACATGGACTTAAGACGATTACGTTTTTACCTTGCTTTGTACCTTTACAGAGAAAATAGCAGCCTCATGTAATCATTCTTCGTTATTTAAAGATTAAATGGAATCCCAAATGAATTAAAACTTGTGTATAAAAAAGACGTACTCGTCAGAGTTCAGCAGGAAGTACAGTAGCCTAAAGGCATTGAGAGAAATCAAAAAATCTAACTTTTTCAACAGTAACATTTACTTACCAAATATTCTTTTTGATAATTTTTATCAAGGATTGTAAGTTTTTTAGTTTATAAAAAAATCTTCCTCTTAACACCAAAAATCAAAATTAAAAATTTCAATACATTTTTATGGTGTCAAAGAATCGTATCAGTATGTATCATTCAATTGTATTTGTTTAAAATATTATATAATATTTAAAAATGAATATTATGATTCATTAATGAAAATAACAATCATTTATGATATCCTCATTCTAACCGTCCACAGCTTTGTAAGTTCAAGGATAGAGTGGTTCAACGACAGAATTGATCGTAGCACTTCATGTAGTGAACTTATGTACTTAAATTAGTATTTTGTGAATGCAAAATTGTCGAATGTGGGTCATTTCATGAAGTAGTAATCTTGGTTGGTGATAAGAGGTATTGCTACCAACAGGGCAATAAAAACTTTATCAAGCATAGAGAGCGCTACCTTATGGAGTCTAGCATGTAAACACATATGCTTCTGCTAGGATTTTTCGGTATTACACATGTGTTGTATTATGTGAAGCATAAGAGATAAAGTACATAAAAATGTGATTAATCAATGCTGTTCTCTTCTTCATAAACAGCATCCACAATCAATTTAAATTTTTGTGAACAGAAGATTATTAAATATGACAGTATTTATATAAAACAAAGTGTGTCTGTAATTTTAATTCAAGTTAAAAATAGAATTTAATCTCAGTGATTTGTAGAATGTAATTTAAACGCAGTATATTAAAGATCTTTGTTGAGTAAATTTTAAACCATTATTATTTGTATAAAACGATATTTAAAAGGTATTATTGTAATTCGATACATTAAAGTGTACTTATTGTGTGATTTAAAAATTATTTGGAAGTGAAGATAGTCATGTTGATCGATTATTTATAAAGAGAGGCCAACCTACGCATTAGCCAAAAATTTCAATTATTTTATTGGGTAATCAATTTATTCTTATTAAAAAAAAACAACTCATTTTATTTTATATTGTTTAGATCACTACAAGCAAAATGACAGTATCAACTGGAAAGAGTGTACGTAAACCGGAAAAAGATGATAATGAAGTAAAAGAATTGACTGATGGACAAATAAAATTAATAAAACTTCTTATTAAGTTATATCACTTAAAAAAGAAACGTTTATGTAGAATAATTACATATTTTATTATTATTTTTCTATTATTATTTCCTATTGTCAGTTTAATCCTAATATTGAATGATGGAGCTATATTATCTGATAATTCAGAATATGAAGGTTATTTTGGAACCTCTCATAAAATGCTTGAAATAGTAAATAAACTAAAAAGATTACTTGAAAAAAATATCTATATAAAGTCTGCTCAAAATGAAGAATGTGCTCGAATGCCAAAAGAGCTACGTTTTGATTGTCATCCTGACAATGGAGCTTCTATGATTGCATGTCAAAATCGAGGATGTTGTTGGGATCCACCTAATGAAAATATTAAATCAGTTCCTTTGAGTATACCTTATTGCTTTTATCCTACAAGTTGGAAATTGTATGAATATGAAAACTATACTCGAAAAAATAGCGGCTTCACTGGTTATCTCATTAATAAAAGATCTTCGTTTCTAAAAGATGATCTACCGATTTTGAAAATGGAAGCTATTAATATTGATGAAAATATCTTAGAAGTTAAGGTAACATAACTTGAAATTCAAATATTATTTTATATCAAGCGGATGATATTACACTGCTCAATTTATTTTTTTACAGATCTATGATCCTACTAAATTACGTTATGAACCAAAATGGCCAGTCAGGAAACACTATAAACCTTTTGGTCAAAAAATGGAAAGTACAAATTATCGTTTTCAGATGGATAATTCTAAGCCTGGCTTTCGCATCTGGAGATCCAATAACCAGAAGTCTGTAGTGTAAGTAAATTAAGAAATTATTTATCAAAATTTTGTAATGAACACTTAATTAAAATTTATATTAATTTTATAGATTTGATTCTTTGACAGCTGGTGGATTCATATTCTCTAATCAATTTCTCCAGATGTCCACTTTACTATCGTCTTCCCATATTTATGGTCTTGGTGAACACAGAAATAATTTAAAGTTAAATACTACATGGCAGACATTGACATTATTTAACAGAGATCAGGCGCCAATAGAACACTCCAATTTATATGGTTCTCATCCATTTTATTTAGTTGTTGAGCAGACTGGTGATTGTTATGGTGTATTATTCTTAAACAGCAATGCTATGGGTATTTATAATTTTTTTTCTGAGCATAGTATTTTTATTTATCATAAAGATTAATTGTATGTTTTATTAAATTTATATAGATATCATACTACAACCTACACCAGCATTAACATTTCGAAGTACAGGTGGAATATTTGACTTGTATTTTTTCATGGGTCCAACTCCTGCAGATGTTCTTGCTCAATATACACAAATTGTTGGAAAACCTTTTATGCCTCCATATTGGTCACTTGGATTTCATCTCTGCAGGTAGAGTTATTAGCAATTAATAAAAATAAAAATAATTTTTTATTGATCACAAAAATATTTTAAACGAAGGTTCGGCTATCGATCTTTGGAAAAAACCAAAGAAGTTTGGAATAGAACTAGAGCAGCTGGCATTCCGTTTGTACGTTATTCAATCACTATTTTATGATTGATTTAAAAATTTAAAACTTTTTATTTAATTTAAGGATACTCAATGGAATGACTTGGATTACATGAGTAATAACAATAATTTCATATATGATAAAAATAAGTTTAAGGATCTACCCAAATTTGTTAAAGAACTTCACAAAGTATGGTTTTGATTTTCAATACTTCTTTTAAATCGAATAAGTAATAGTTACAATATTTTAATATCTGATAATATTTGATAGATTGGAATGCATTACATTCCATTGATAGATCCAGGAATTTCAGCATCAGAAGAAAAGGGCACCTATCCTCCATATGATGACGGAATAAAGAATGATATTTTTATTAAAAATTCTGAAACGAATTTACCTTTTGTTGGAAAAGTATGGAATCGCGTATCAACAGTTTGGCCAGATTTCACTCACCCTAAATCTCAAGAATATTGGTATAATATGATGAATAGTATGCACGAGAATTTCCAATATGATGGTGCTTGGATTGTAAGTAACTAAAAATTGAAATAAAATAAAATAATATTACATTATACCAAAATTTTTATAGCAATTCAATATATAAATATATATATTTCCAAGATACAATATTACTATTTAATATTTTTATGCTATTCCGAAATTAAACATGGTTTAGAAAAAAGTAACCGATTTTTACACATACAGGATATGAATGAGCCATCCAACTTCTTCAACGGCCTAATCAATGGATGTTCTCCATCAAGTCTTATGGATAATCCTCCTTATACACCAAATGTGGCTGGTGAAGTTTTGTATTCTAAAACACTTTGCATGAATGCAAAACACTATTTAGGATGGCATTATGATATTCATAATACTTATGGCATAGCAGAAGCTGCCGTTACTCATTTGTTAGTAGAATTTTATTACTAAACTTTATTACTTATAAAATATCAAAATGATTATAAATAACATAATTTTTGTATATTAGTGCATTGGAAAAGATTCGTAATAAGCGACCATTTATCGTTTCTCGAGCTACATGGGTAGGTCAAGGTTCATATTCTGCTCATTGGACCGGAGATGTTTTTTCTACCTGGTAATTTTTAAATAAACTCAAGTGATTAAATGATAATAAAAGTTAAAATTTTATATTAATTCCATTTAAATAATACTAATTTCAGGCACGATTTAAGAATGAGCGTTCCAGAAATATTGGCATTCAGCATTTTCCAAATTCCTATGGTTGGAGCAGATATTTGTGGATTTAATGGCAATACTACTCAAGATCTTTGTAATCGGTGGATGCAATTAGGAGCTTTTTATCCATTTTCGCGAAATCATAACACTGATGATGCAATAGTAAATAAAATTTTTCATAATGCGTTAGCTTAATTGATTTACATTTAATATAATTGATATTTATTATTTAGGATCAAGATCCAGTAGCAATGGGAGATATTGTTGTAAAATCATCAAGAAAAGCATTGATGATTCGATACAGATTTTTACCATATTTATATACACTTTTCTTCAAAGCTCATATGTTTGGAGAAGCAGTAGCTCGTCCTCTATTTTTTGAGTACAAAAATTTTCATTTAGAGTCAATTTAATCAATTGAATTTTTTTTATCATTCATAGTATTCAATTTTAAATACTAATGATTAATTAATAATACTAGGTTTGTAAAAGATCCAAATACATTGGATGTGGATTCGCAATTTTTGTGGGGAAAAGCAATGATGTTTGCACCAGTTTTAGAAAAGGTAAAATTTTCATTATTTTATTCTTTGTAATTTATCGTGAATATAATAAATTTTTATCAAACAGGATAAAGAAGAAGTCACTGCTTATCTGCCATCAGGATTATGGTTTGATTTCTATAATAAATCTTTTGTCATTTCTAAAGGGCAAAATTTCACACTTCCTGCTCCAGTTGATACAATACCTATTCTTATTCGTGGAGGCAATATTTTACCAGCTCAAACTCCTGGAAAAACGACAACTGAAAGTAGACAAAATAAATTCGAGTTATTGATAGCTCCTGATCTACAAGAAAAAGCAGTTGGAGAATTATTTTGGGATGATGGAGATAGTATTGGTAACTATTTACTTGATTTAATAGCTTTTGTTCATATTGTCTAATTATTAATAAAATTTTAGATTCAATTGAAAGTGGAAAATATATATTACTTAAATTTTCAATGGAAAATAAAACGATAAAATCTCAAATACAACATGATGATTTCGATGGGAAAATGATTTTGGGTAAGATTCAAATTATGGGATTCCAATCAGATGTTACACAAGTGACTATAAATAATACAAATGTTCCATTTAGTCACGATAAGAAAAGAAATGTAAGTATCTTTAATTTTACCGAATCCGTAATAATTACTTTCAACAACTGCATTAATATTTTTATTTTAGTATTTAACTGTAAAACCAATCCAAGTGGATCTCAAGTATTCATTTATTATGCAATGGAAATAATTCTATAAAACTTTTGATGGTCAATACGTCATACGCGTGTGTGTGTGAATTACAAATGTTTATATTCATTTTACTCAAACACTCTATACAAGTACGTCAATATTTTTACAAAGTTTATTCAAGTTATGTTACAATTTTCAAATATGCATGACACTATTAGAATACAATAAAGAGATGTTAAAATATATTTTGTATCATATCTGAAAATAAAAAAAATTTCAAGCATGAGTTTGTTGAATTATAAAAAAACAATAATAGTGACGATAATACTATCTATCGTCTATCAGTAAGAGTTATAGTTGAACCGAATTTTAATTTTTTTTTCTGGATTCCACTTTGGCACTAGATCTCCTTATAGATAATGAAGACAAAAATTATACGAAAACGTTTCCCTTATTATCAAGTCAAATACTGCCCTCAATGACCTTAATCTTTATTCAGTGATTGTACGACTTATTTACTTATATCGATGTATTTTTTATTTTTCAATAAACACAAGCTCTGCTTTACATCAATTTAATAGGAATAATGATTATTATCATATATAAAAATTTTTTAATACAGAAAAATTGAAAAAAAAAAATTAAATGGCAATTAAATCTTTGGTGAATAAAATATTATTTGCATTTTAACAAAAGATATATAGTGATTATCATAATCAGTCACACAACTAAGCACCGTCACTTGCTACATTAAACAAATTTTTATCCAAATACATAATTTAGAAATACGTATAACACAAGTAACATTGATAAATTTTAAATATCAATATATTCATATTTTAAAATGAATTAATAGTATAGATATTAATGATAAATATTTTTATTATTGTCTGTTCACATTTATTTATGTCTATCATAATTATCGCAGTTTTATTTTTAATTATTTGTTAACCATTTTTTTATAAAGTGAGTGCTAATTCTCAATACCATACACACAGTAGTGTTGACTTTAATAAATCAATTACTGTATTATTTTATTTAGTCAGAATAAAGAATTGAAACACTAATCTCACAATTTAAAGTGCAAAATATATAACAGTAATATAAACTGTGCCTAATATAGCTTTATAAGCAACATAACACAATTTTTAATTATTTATCACTCATAAGTAATTCATTCTATAAAATAAGCCTAAAAAATTTTTGGTATAAACATCTTTTATAAGTTCAAAATTAATAATAAGGCCTTTATATATTGAATCATCTCTGTGAAAAAAATATAAAGCGTCAAAAATGGTAGTAGAATAACTATGTTAATACAATATGGCAAGTTTTTGTCATAAATGGCACTGTTGGATTTCTCGTTATCACACATACAACAATCATTAGTATTAATAAATAATTTTTTTAACAAGAAAAATCCGTCGGACAAATTATTCTTCTGTTTTGACATAAAAAATTCTTTGGTTATAACACATGAAAGGGACATATGGCTATGTAGTTGTAAGAGTCTCCAGTATCTCTTCTGGACTTTTATTCATCTTTTTAAATGTTTCCCAGTGTTCCTTGGGTACAGTCCACTCGAGAAATGTCTCAAGATTTTTTCGTAGAGCTTCGAATTCAGTTAATTCACCAACTCTTGCTGGATCTTTACCAGCAGATATCAGGGAATCTTGGAGAACTTGATCGATAAGTCTCTTACCAAAACCCAATTCATCTAACTTCTCAGGTTTTGATATTCTTTTCAGCAACACAGCTAATAGTAATCTCATTTTCTCGATACTCATCACACAATATTTTCCTGTTTCTTTTGCTAATTCATCTCCTGATTTATCAGCAATCTCTGATGTCTTCAGACAATTTCTCTCATGATTTTCAAGATCACTTTTGATCCTGAAAAATAAGTTACAATTTTTACAATTGTATGGTTCATTCCTTCCATGAATACACTTCATATGTTTTTTCCAATGAGGCAATTGAGTAAAGCCAGCATTGCATTCAGAGCACTTGAAAGGTCTTTCACCAGTATGCCTTCTGGTATGAAGCTTCAAAGCAGTAGAATGAGCAAAAGCTTGCCAGCAAACAAGACATCGAAATGGACGTTGACCAGAATGAGTTCTTTGGTGAACAGTTAGTTGAGATTTTTGTGCAAATCTTTGACCACATGTAGCACAACCATGTGGTCTATCTTGACAATGAGTTCTCATGTGTTGTGGTAAATGTCCTTTGAATGTTTTGTTGCAGATTATACAGAGAAATGATTTAACATCTTTGTGCAAACACTCCAGGTGTTTTTTTAAAGCATCTCTGCGAATAAATCCTCGACCACAGATATCACATTTATGATCTTTCTGACCATTATGTCGTTTCATGTGAAGTGCTAAATTAGCTGCACAAGTAAATGTACCAGTGCATAGAGCGCAATGATAAGGCTTTATATGACTATGAGTTCGTCGATGTTGAGCTAATTGTCCACCACGTGCAAAACTTTTATCGCATTCTGAGCATTTGTATGGTTTGAAGCCTGTATGAGTCCTAACGTGAAGTTTCAGTCGCTCCTTTAGGGGAAATTCTTTTCCACAATCATCACATTTAAAAAACGGTCCAGCAGCATGAACGACTTTCCAATGATTACGTAGACCTCCACTTCCTTTAAATTTAGCATCACACATCAAACAGCAATATTTTTTTATTTGTTGATCATCTTTGGGCTGATCATCACCTTCAGATATTTTTGAACAATTATTTGTACCCGTAGAAGTTTCATTACTTGAAGATTCTAATGAATCTGAATTGTTATCATGTTGAACTATATTATTATTTTCTTGTTCTAAAATATAATTTGATTCAATTATTACGCCTATTTTGTGTTTTAAATCATTTTCTGATTCTCTTTGTTCTGCTGATAATTCTTTCTGATTATTATTACTATTCTTTATAGAATAATCATGTTGAAGTGTTTTACTTTTTTTTGCAGTCCGATGTGATTTAGTATTGGATTTAAAAGTAGAATTCCCATTACAGAATTGATTATTAATATTTTCTGAAATATTATCACCTAATAATTTATCTTCATCGCTACTATTTTTGTTGATATCATCATGTGAATTTTTTTCTTCTTGCTGATAATAAAATATTCCATCTTTTAAAATATCTTTTTGATATGTCTTCTTTTTTTTACTGGTTCTAGCTCTACTTTTTTTAATTTTTTCTTGAGTAAAAAATTCATCATTTTGATTTTCAGAATTTTCAGTATTATTCCAAGGTAGATTCAATTTTCTTTTACTATATTTCTTTCTTTTAGTCTTTAATATTGAATTGTTACATTCTATCTCAAGTAATCCATCAAAATTACTCGTACCTTCATCATCATCTTCTATATGATCACTATTAGAATCAATGTCAATATCATCGTTGACACCATCAATATCACTATCTTCCTCATCAGTATGCTCATCATCATTGTCATTGTTATGAAGATAAACTACTTGTTTCCGTTTAATGTTCTGTTGTCCATTAATTTTAAAAGAATTTTTTCTTGAAGGAAATTCGCAATCTTGAGATTTTTCAAAAAATTTGAAGTTTCGAGGATCAAATTCACTTTGATTGTTTTGCGAAAAGCTTCTTAGAACTTTAAGTCCATCAGTTGTGGTATTATCTCTATTATCAGAGGTATTTTCGATACGTGACTGTTCAACAGGAAGCAGTTCTGTAAGTTGAATTTCTTCTTGCGATTGTTCAGCTCCACAGACTTGGTCTATAACTGGCTGTTGTGTATTAGTCATTTTAAAATATCTTTATTTGCAGAAAAAAAATATTCTCTACTTTATTTCTTTGGCTTTATTCCAATCTTATTGTATGATAAATCAACTACACTTGCGTCGCTTAAGAGACTTTAACGCTTTCGATTTTATCAAACTGAAGGCAAACATGATGACTTATCAATCTTTCAACTTTTATCGTTAATGTCCATCATGAGTTCATTATTAGCAAATATTGCATGTGAGTATAAATATACCGAAATAAAATTCAGACTGTTCACGTGAAATATGTGATTATAGTGAAAAGTTGACTAAATATAAAATATAAATAGACATTAGTAGAGAGATTATCAATGAATGGAAGACTGGTTACTTGAACGAACCTATTTCAACTGACCAACAGCACAAGTCACACCCGGAAAACTGTACACACGCCTGTCCCTTATCATAGACTGCGTATAGATATACACCTTTAATAGAAGCAAGAGCACACATACACATATGTTAGCAATAAAACCGTGAGCGCGAGTGAAACATTTTATCAAAGCGTTATCGTCTCACGAATAATAATTTTAATAATCTTCTTTTTTATTCAGTATCTTTAGCTAAACACTTTTGTAGTATCAATCGAATATTCTTGCAGTGTTAATATTCCTTTCAATGATAATTATTTCTTCGAAAAAAAATATGTTTCTTTTTCAAGTTGATGATAACTCTTGAAGTTTTGTTTTTGATCCTTGAAATAATAATAAATGATCATTACAAAACCTCCATTAGCGTCGGAATCACTTTCACAGATGTATGAAGCTGCGAGCTTTTAAATGTCAACAGTTTCCCGGTCGATAATTCAACGGAGCTGAACGTCGTTGGCAAGCATTGGAATCTCCCAAAGGCCAAAACCCACTTCAATATTAGCTCAAGGCACGACTGAATTTGCCACAAGCTTTTAGTGTCTGCATGACGATTCTACTATCACACAATTGCGCGCTTTTTACGCGCAGGCGCTCTATAGAGGTCGATATCGTTGCCGGCCAACAACACCGAGCTTTCCCGTCACCCTTTTCCTCTCCAATTCACCCTAAAGTATTCATTACCATCCCCCTTTACTTTTTATAATCGTCCGTGACCTACTACATTGTCTTCTTGATCCCAGGATCTTACTCATGTCTATTTCTATGGCTAAAATTTTATCATTGACAGTTTACACATCTTCTTCATCTGATGTAACTAAAATACACTCGACAAACCCAAAAGGTTTTGAATATAAATTTCAAATTGAATCTTTTTTTAACAATACATATATGTTGCTCATATACTTGATGCTATTCTAAAGATTCACTGATATGTGATAATGTAGATAAGAGTGATAAAGATTGATGATACTTATAGTATATAATAAATAAAATATGAAATATTTAGATATTTGTCATTGATATATTGTAATTCTTGAAAAATTTATGAAATAAACTATACTAATAGTTGATTAAAGGAAATAACCCATCTTCTTTTGTTGAAATAATTTTAAAATATTTAGGTATAATATTTATCAGTTGATGTATGGCATAAAAGATTGAGGCTAATGTAATATAAATGATGACTAGAAGTTTCGATGACGATGGAGACGAAAGGAAGACTGTCAGTGGAGTGAAACGAATAAATAAGTCGACTTTTGTGAGTGCGGTCATACGTGCCCCTGCACGCCGCGCCTAATTAAATGACTTCCGCTGACCAGTCAAGAGCAAGTTAGATATAATACGCTGTAATAGCTTAGTTACGATATTAGTATTCAAATGTCCCATGTGGATCCCTCAGAAAAGAGGATTTGTGATTATAGTATGAATTAATTCCTAGTGAGAAACCGTCACCATCTGTAAATAACAAAGATAAAATTTCAAACCCTTCTTTTTTTATTATTACTCATGTCTATAGTATTTTCAAACATTTATCTACTCCGAACAGAAATACGCATGCTGTAAAGTTAAAATTATATCATATGAAGAATAATTATTTTTATCACAAACGAAATGTAATGAGTGAATAAGTGTTAGGTAGATATAATTTATTTTATTGAAAATATTTAACAAATTCTCGTCTTATCTTGAGAATGTCATAAATATGATAAATAATTATCTTATAGTAGATTAATTTTGTTATTTATGCGTGCAAGATTTCTGATGATGACTGATGATATTGTTATTAAAAGCATTATTTATTGAAGCAAAAAGTGTGCCAACATTGTTCATTTTTTTAATTTAAAAAAAAACAATATAGATATTAAATAAATGTAGGAATAAATTGAATTTTTTTTTACAACAATATATAAAATACAATATAAAAATAAATAGCTGCAAAAAAATTCAACATTTAAAATAGTATTAGAAGCAAATGTTTCTGTTGATATTTATTTATAGAATACTGCAGTAAATTTTTTACAGATCTAATAGATAAAAAATATTATAAGTAATGGTGTAAGAGAATCCCTTCATCAAGATAAATTCTTATGTGGGCGGAGAAGCCAATAAAGTTGTATAACTTGTAACAAGTATAATACTAATTTCAAAGATAGTGTGATCTAAAAAAATGTATAACCAAAAAAAATAAAAAATCAGAAGAGGACAAACCAGTAATGATTTCTGTAAATGTGTTTATCAATCAAAATACAGGTGTACATCAACGCAAAAAATTTGTGCAACAAAAGCTCAATCACGTGATTATTTGTACAATACATACATACATAAATACAAACGTGCATGTGTATGTCTATCTTTCTTTGTCTCTTAATCTTTTCGAGCAATAAAACATACATCTGTGCGCATTGAACTTCCCAAGACATAATATGAGCATGTACATACTTCTCATAAAATTATTTTTTGTGTAAATAAAAACAAATTGGTTAATTAATATCACATCAATGGCAGTAAAATACCTATCTGATTGGAATGGTGTAAACATTGTAATAAAACTAAGTGTACTTACATTAATGGCTGAGGGCAAAACTCCTTGATGTTTACTGTGGAATTAAATGAGAACACTGATCAGTCCTATCCGTCGTTCGCCATCTTTAGTTTTCGTTTTAATTCTACTGATAAATAACAGACAGACAAGAGTCGTCGGAAAGTAAGAAGAGTGAGATAAGAATAAAATTCTGATCAACGCAGATCCCTACATTATGAACGATAGAGATGAAATGTTATCACATGTCCGATAATATATTAAATATTTTTATTCATCATTTTAGAGTAATTAAAAGTTCAATAGAGACTTTAATGATTTCAAAACTATGAATCTTAATTATTAAATTAATTTTTTTTTCTATTCATCGATTTTTTTTTATCATGACTACATCGAAAATATAGAAATCTATGTGATAACACGAAATAACTCCAAAAATCAATTTAATTTTGATCTCAATATATTTATTAAAAAACAAATAATTATCTAGTGTGACTTGAAAATAATCTGAATATTTATTCTATAAATTAACGAGTTATTGTAAAAATTTATTAAACATCCAATAATTTTATTTCTAATGAAGATTATTTATCATACTCCAAAGTCACTTCGAAAAATTGTTATTTTTTTCATTCTTCAACAATTCTTTTGTTATAAAAGAAACAAAAATTACCTTATGAAATTCAATCTGAGCTTTTAAATAATAAACATGGTCATTCTTCTAAATAAATGATAACTTTCTTGATATACGAAAAGGCAAAAGTATTTATTATTCATACAGATTATTAAATAATTCACTGAAAAATTTTTTTTTTTTTTTCAAAATTGTATCTTGGTAGAGGTACATTTTTATCGGCACTTTACCACAAGATGACTCTAGTTATGAAGTTTCTTATCAATATATATGCACACACGTATATTACACATTAGAAGTATACTATGCATCAAGTCGAAATGTGATTACTAACGTGCGCACGCATCCTATATACACTCTCCTTTATTGTAGCTTCAATCTTGCCAGCTCTGCATAGAACGTGAAATGCGATTGGCAGTGCAAGTAGTGTGGTGACCAAGTGTAGTCACATTGGACTCTGTTTTCATCAATTTTGTTTGCAACAGTTGTCTCTAAACAATCACAAACCCACGTTGATATTTGGTTTAACCTATTTGACATACATTGTCGATATTTCATGTACTTTAATCAAAGTTATTCATTTTAGAAGCTATCAAAATGTTCAATGTGACAGTTGACGCTTATGTTTCCATCTAACTCGTTGATTGCCAGAACTTTTCGATGATACGTTGTTTGTTTAATAAATTAATGTGTCATAATTAGTTATTAATCAAAAACTTACCTCATATGTAGGTAATACAAACATTAATATAGTATATATACATTTATTCTTGTATAAAATTGTTTTCGGTGAAAATAATAAATCTACATTGCTAGGTTGATGGTACTCTGGTGTCCTCTGTCGGTGAGTTGTTATTTTTTAATTTATCTGTCATTATATTACTTATGTATTTAAATCAAGGATAAATATTTGTTTTTTGAATAAACTTACACTTTTATAATTTTTTATTATAATAAAATCTATCTAATAGATTAGTCAATTAAAATGTATCTATGAAATTAATTTCACACACTGTAAATAAATAGTATTAACCATACATTTGGATTTAAGTAAATTTTATAGTAAATTTGTTCCATAAATATTATGATTGCAGCATCATTGTCGCTTATAAATGCTTATAAATAATTATATATTCGACGTAGAATAATTCAATTATAATATTTATAGCATATTAGCATTTAATTAAATAAAAATTCATTTTAAATTCATGTCATAAAAATAATCTTATATTTTGATTATTTATATGATTATTGAGTTACATTAACATGTTTTATTTATAGTAAAAGCGAAAATATCGAACTGTACTTGCTATGTAGCATCTAAACAACATTGTAGGTATTTTCTGAACGATACCGTTATCGTTCTTGTAATTTATAGTTGAAGCATCGTGATGCTGGATTTAAATTTCTCTTTCTTTCTACCTTTTCCATCGACAAGCTAAATATATTTATTCATGTTGCCGGTAAATTATAAAAATCAATTTTTAAAATCAATAAAGCCAAGAGTTTGTTAACGAATTATACAACTAGGATTTATATTAATTAAAAAAAAAAAAAACTAAACTTGTGTAATGAATATATATTTTTTTTGTTATAAACTCAACTGTTGCTCGTTCATCTGAATCATTGAAATCACTTTCTAGTTACTCGTTAAAAGCGTAATGACGTGTGATGATTATTAGCAATGATAATAATAGATGTAGGATAACACTTTCCCAATTAAGTATAAATAACTGAGCATGGGAGACTGCATAATATTTGTAATCTATCTCCTTTTCCTATGATCTTATGTGATATTTGTATAGATATATCTAGATATAATGAAGGAAATGATCAAGAGAGAAGATCTAACTAAAGCTGATGGTCTATTGATGCATTTTGCAATTTTATTTTATAACATCTAATTATATGTCTTTTTGTCAGACTTGATATCATACATTTATTCGTACATGCACCTCGATGCAACTTTTTCATGCACTTTTTATACTTGCTCAAAGTACCTGTAATAGAGACGTTTCTTTAGGAAATGCAATAATTGACATTAACTTGTTATAATATAATATAAAAAAATCCTGCTGGAGATTTTATAATAATGAAAAAGTGTGGAAATGGGAAATATCATCAAAGCTTTCAAAGCAATTTATAGAAAGATAAAATGAAGTTAAAAAATAAAGATGAAAAATACATTGAAATATGATTGAAAAATATTTCGAAGAAAACATAAATTACATGAATTACTTGAAGTTATGGGAAAATCATTTCTACGCTGGGAACTTCAGACAAAGTGTTTAATCTGGTAGATAAGAGGAGTAATTTATGGCTACATATGAATAAAAGTGACACTGGTGAGTGGATCTACGCATTTGTGCAGATGACAGAAAAATTTAATCTGCATTTTCGAGAAGCTATTCTCATCTACATTTTTTTCATTCTTTTTTTTCTATTTTTCTGCCAATTTCACTTCTATTAGAACGATTGAAGAATCAATTATTCCAATCACGAAGTTCTTGGAACCTTTTGTTCATTTTTGGTAGTGTTCGGTGAGTTTAACCTTATACTGAATATGTAATTAGGGTAATGAAAGCTACATGACATACTCGGAACAATATTTAAATTACTCAAGACGTCATAAATAAATAAATAAATAAAAAAAAATAATTAATGAAAATTATGAAGATATTTATTGTGATTCAATTACATTAATTGGATTAAATAAACGTAAAAAATAAAGCATAATACAGTGAATCTTATGTTTAATGAACAAAAGGGCAGACTTAATATCAAATCAAGTAATGGAAAATTAGACAATAGGATTAAATTCATTGAGACGAAAGAATAATGTGTGAATAGACACATGCTTAGGGTGTGAAATGCGATAAGAGGAACGATTATAGCATACATATGTACAAATATCTACAAGATGAGAGTGAGAATAATTTTTTTTGTCTTGTTTACTGGTCAGAATTGAGTCCAACTTATCATAAATTATCAATATGTATTATTACTTAGAAGTTTGATTAACAAAATTGAAAAAAGACGTTATTAATAATTCTGATTATCTTAAATTGGGATATTTTTTATTTTTCAACGCTGTCAATGTGCACTAGGGAATTAATAAGTATAAAGAAGAGATAACATTGATGTTGTATTAGTGGCTACGTTACATTCAGCTTGGATCCCTCGAGTAGAAACGATTGCGAACATATACTACCATCCTAGCCATTATATATATATCCTGAAGATTAATTCCACGTTCGTTTAATATTTTATTTTATTTTTCTTCTTATTTTTCTCGTGTTGTTATCTTGAGAGACCGGTGTGCTATATTCTCCCTCGAGGTTCATTGGCGTACACGCGAGGATCAGAGAAATATAACAATCAACTCTTCTTGTCTATTATAAATAAAACCATTTAAAATTGATTTATTTTGTTATTCCTGTGCTCTAATCCTACTTCAATTAGCTGTAGAAAATAAGCTATATTATTAATTATAATATTTATTTTTTAATATATATACATTGCGAATTATGGAATATTTTTTTTCATTCATTTTTTGCAGCTTTATCATTTATTTATGTATTTAAGTTGAGCAACACTGAAGAGCTTCGGATTAACAGAGCTTAAATATAATTATTTAGTTGAATTGATCATTTTTGATTGATTTGTTTATTAAAATTATTTAATATCATTTTTTCTTGTGTGTAAATTGTATGCCATTTTTGAAAAGCCGCAAAAAAATTTCATTTTATTTTTAACATAATGACAGTTGTTGAAGGTCATGCTTGAATGAATTAAAACTTTATTATTCAGAAATTTGAAAAAAATCCTTGGAGTTACAAGCCTTTTGCTACATTGTATAAAATTACTGAGCAAACTTTGATGATTTGATTGCAATTTTCATGCTGTATACCCACATACATGCAAGCCTACCACTTACTCTTAATTCTCAACAGTGAGTTACATCAAGAAGATGTTACATAGGACCATATTTATGTATGCACAAAGGCAAATTAGATGGTAGACTTGATTTGTAGCCTTTCTTTCATGAAATGTGCGTACTCTGGTAGTTCACTATAATCACAGAAGATTCAGCAGAATCACAGAAGCTTTCTCTATCAATTTTCAATTTGGCTGGCATACTTTTATTTTCCACGTTTTCCTTTCATCTGTGTTCTATGATTTTATCTTCAACTTTATTACTTGACGTGACGAGAGATACTGAATCAAAAGTAAGCATTAAATAAGAAAAAATAATTACGATAATAAATTTGCAATAATTGCTTAGAATTAATATACTTGATGTCTATTTATTAAGCTTTCTTCTTTTCTCTTGCACATTTTGAATAGTCATGATGACGCATTTGAAGTTTTGCATTTCATGCTCAACTAGACGTCACAGGAGATCTGTAATTGTTGATTATCAGTTAAAAAAAATATAAGTGCTCATGAAAACTCTATCAATTATGATTTTATTTACTTTATTTAATGAAGCTAACAATGTAGTTTTATTTTTTACCAAATGTCTAATGACATACTATAAATATAATTATAATAAAATATACCATTGATTGTTTATTATTATCACAACCTTTTCCAAGACGTCATGAATCCCCATTAAGATCCGTTCAAAAAAAAACCAGGATGAATTACAAATTATTTTTGATATTTTTATCAAGAAATCATTGATGTAATCCAGCTTTTTTAAATCTCGAAATAAACCATTAGTAATGGTAAAAAACAAACTATTTTTTATCAAAAAAAAATCTTGTTCGATTCCTAAAAATGCAAATACTAAAGACGTATTGAAATTAAATTGAAAACCTGTTCTTCAGAAATTAAAATGCAAAGATGTACAGATAATAATCATCATCGATGCTAGATTTGAATAGTTGCATACAATAAACATTCCCTTGAAAGTTCAATAAAATCAGTAAATAAAAGCAAGCATTTTAGAATGAACATTTCAATCATAAATGATAAATGATTTCAGCAAATAAAGGAAGCTTTATTTTCCTTTCGTGACTTGATCCTGAAGAAGACGAGATAAGGATTATCATAGCATGCACAATAGTTATAGAAATTCAATCATAGGTTTTATTCTTTGATTTCATGAAAACGATTATCTTTTGGTGAGATAAGGAGACAATTTTGTGAATAAGACAACACAAAAGGGCAAGTGTGTAATGTAATAGGTAAATAATTCAATAAATGGTCCATTCGGATAAGTAGAGAATAGACAATCTAAAGGCAGACCCGGAAGCTTGAGTTACTTCCGTACAAGCAAGGGGCCACCGACTCGTCGGGGAATTGCATAACGAGTGGGATGGGATATAGCAGTTTCTTGTCTCTTGTATATAGAAACAGTGCAGACGACGCACCAATAGGACCTATAGAAAGAAGGCATAAGCACGATATTGTACCTTACACACATACAATTATTATATACAGAGTAAGGTGAAAAGTACCAGAGGATAGTGAGAACCACTGGTACGTGTACCGGTTGTTCTACTCGTGGAATGCGGACCATCGTGTTATGTGTAGTGTATCTACGTACAACCAACAGGCCGTCTGTCTGGTTGTGTCCATGCGCGTGTACAATTATTGCTGTCGAACGTGCGCACCCGATCAACCGGTGATTGAGCATTTATTATGCGTCCGAAGAAAGCATCCATTGTCTTGAGAACATGACATCTCTTATTATTTTCATTGACAATGAGGTGCATTTATTTGCCAGTATTTACTTAGTCAAGTACTCAGTCATGTATTTATTTCACTAAATATTTCAACAAGTCCTGAAAATAAGTGGAAAAAGTGGATAAACAATTGGAGGAAGTTGAAACCTATAAATATGTAAATGGTACTGGTCACCTGGGCCACTGTATGCTAATATAATGCGACACTTTGCATACATGAGACTTGGCATATTTTATGGTGAAAATGTCTAAGAGTTGTGCAGGTGCTGAACCATTCGTGGCTATCATAAAATTGTGATTTCAGTTTACATTTAAGAGCTTTGTCTATTTTTCAACTCTATTAAATCTATTATCTGATAATGGACGGTTGTCATTTACATTTGTATTTTTAATCAAATTTAAATTTAGAATTTATTTTCATTTAGATGAGATTCATTTATTTATCATTAAGTTAATAGATCATTATTTATAGTGATTAAATTGCAATGATGATTATTGTTGATTTTTTGTTTTTTATTTGTGTTTCAGAAATTCCTTCTTATGTAAATAATAAACAAAAAATATAACAATGGCGTCTGGAACGTGTCCTTGGTCCTGAAGATACTAAATTCTACGAGGTGAGAAAAGTTGTTTTAATTTATTTTAATTTAATCGATAAGGAATCATTCTGTGAATCTTTTACATTTTTTGTCAACAAGAAAAAATTTTTTGTCTTCCATCATTGAATTAAGGAAAATTATCTTATTCAGTAGCTGTTAAGAATTTGAGATTATTTCTGAAACTATAAAAAAAACTATTAGATATTTTATTTAAATAGATAAGAACTTGCAGACTCGAGAAAATTTCTGCTTAGTTCACTCTAAAAGGTACTGTCATAAAAACCTTATGAATTGCCGAAAAATTTAGCCAATTTCAATAAAAGCTCAAAGACAAACACTACAAGTAAATAAAACTTGCAAGATATCTTTAGAAAGTACAAGATAAAAATATGGACAATGTATGTACGTACATGAACGACCGTATATGTACATGTTAACTGATATTAGTATACGAAGATATTATCTCTATGATAGATAACGGTAACATGACTGCAATATTAATCCATGTCAGGATTCTCAGACGATTAATTGCTGTATCATTATTGGCCCCTAGAGTTGACTTCCTCCCAGTACATCCTAGGATATGTCGTTATATACACACGTTTTTGTATCTTCCTAGTATCCAGTGATTAACTCCGAAACCTAAGGTCTATATCCCCTCAGTAATTAAGTATTTTAATTAATTGTTTCTCTAAACAATTATGCTAACACCGGACTTATGATGCTATACATTCATATTTGTTTAATCTCCTGAACTATGTTCTTATCATACCAATTCTATTCAAATTTTTATTATTCATTTTTTCATTTCTTTTTATTTTGGCAATCTATATTTTTATTCTCACTAATAAAGGATAGTTGTTATTTAGTAATCCTTAAATCATTAATATTACAACATTTACTAGAGTCTCATTAAATATTCATATTTATTCATTTTAATTAACAATAAATTTAATAATAGATTTATTTATAATAAAAAAAGATTGTAAGTAAATATTTCTACTACAATAATTCATAAAGATTGTTTAATAAATAATATTTATTAATCATTCATATAAATTATTTATGCAAGATTATTTATTAACAATAAAAACATTTTCAGTACTTTATTATTATCCATTCATATTTAAATTATAATTTTTTTTCACCGGGACTCATTTTCTCATTTTTTACTTATTTCAACAATGCATGAAAGTGATGAGTACTTGGTTGGAATAGCAACAATATGATTGTATAAGTATATAAGACGATATATGTGGTACGACAATCAACATTGAAACGTTGCATTATCAAACCGACGAAGGCGAGTCTTCTGGACACACTACAGTAATAATTAAGGTAATGGCTACTTTTCAAGTGGATTTCCGTGTGGCTCGATCTCCTCAGCCTCCCACCTATTACAGTCACGAAGGCACCCGCGTCGTTTTTATAACTTGTTCGATTCTTTTTTCTTTCTTTCATTTTTATTTTCATCTTGGCTCTACAATATACATTTCCGAGAGTTTTTCCTTTCAGTATTACTCTCTTATACCTCTTTTTATGGATATATACACTCATGCTGACAAGTTATATACAGACTTTTCTTCACTTGAACTTCATTCGCACTGTTAAACAGCAATGTTTCAACCTGTTAGACTTGGTCGAGTTCTGCTACAAGTAACTTTATCGTTGACCACTTTAACTTCTTCATTACTTCACCATCAGAGTGATTGATCATGCTTTTCCAAAAAAATTTTTCTTTCATTCTATATTGAAGCAATTGAATTTTAATTTTAATAATGGTAATAAAACTTCTTAAGTGAATTGAATTTTTTTTACGTTAAAAAATAATATTCACTAGAGAAAGGAGGTAAAACAGGTTTGTTTGCAAAGCTTCAACTTTTCATTTTTTTTTCATCTTCATAGAAAAAAAAAACTCTACTGCTACAACAAATCAAAGGTCTTTTTCTGCAAAAATACTGATCTCTGATGTGTTTACAGGTAAAGTCTACCGTATACTTTAGGGATTTCTTGTTACTATAGATTTCTTTTATGAACGCAACAGCAATCAAAAAAATAAGTCTGAGTACCCTTTGTCTGTGCTAACACGACAAACTTCCCATTAGTAATTGTTTATAACAAATTTAAATAATTATAAACAAGGTGTAATTGTTAAAAGTCATATCTCGTTATAACTAAATAACATTATTTTGTTGAAAAATCCAAATCGATGTGATATAAAAGTAATTAAAAATTTATTTAAAAGTATTTTAAATAATTAATCTTTTTATTTATTCATTATTAGTTTTTTCGTTATAAAAAAAAACAGCTTGACCGAATTCGTTTAAATTCTACTCAGATCTTTTTTACAATAATATCTTTCGGATAAATTTTGGTTGAAGTTGATATCTCGATCCGTTCTTGAGATATCGAAAACGAAAAAAATGCTGACATCCGTACATACATACGTACGTACACACATATCATTCTAAAAATTGGTCAGTATGCTTGCAAATATCTAGAAACGTGGAGATATGATGAAAATTCAAATTTTACTGATCGACCCAATTTCAAAAACTTCCTAATGGGAAGTTAAAAATATTTTATGAGTAATAGTCAGTTTTGATGCTGCTACAAGTTTTTTTTTATTGTGTATGATATTATCTCATTATCTCTCATAGATAGAAAAATAACGACAATTATTCTAGTCGATGCTGAGAAAGAAAAACAATTTTTGAAGTTTTTTTATTCCAGTCTAATTAATGTACATATTGACATTACAATAATATTTAAACTCCCAGCACTACAGGAATAGATGTAATCCAGCAAAAAAAAACAAACAATAAACAAAAACAAAGTGAAAAATGTCAACTTCAATTACACAGCACTTTTTTAAAATTCGGTAATTAAATGACAGCTGAGAGAATCGATACATGAATGTTACGTTGGGGTGCATGTCTATGAGTCCTTAGAGGAATTTAGGTCAGATCGGCTATCAAACTAGTGATAATGCAACCATCCTTGATGCTTGAGGTACTGAGGTGACACATCACTTGCACTCCGATAATTATTGTTAGAAAGTCATATGAGCTTCGACAATGCAGTGCATCAGAAGAGAAAATGATTTATAAAAAAAATATATCCAAGAGTAGGTGTTTTTCTCTAGAAATCTCAGCTCTCAACCGAGAAGTGGATGTGACTATAAAAAAGAGAGCCCTTAAAACAGACATGTATTTGACTTGTAATCAAGTGTTAGCTGATTCGGCTTTGTCTGTGTTATGTGTGGTTATCGCATCCCTTATCTCAATGAAAACCTTACAATCTAAAGAGTTACTGAAGCGAATATGGGACGAAAAAACGTTTCTCATTGAAATTCATGAATTTCAGACAAAAGCGAGAAAAATTTGTATTTTAAGTGCTTTCTAAAATCGAATAGTTTTTGTTGTTTTACAAAAAAAAAAATCTTTAAGAGAATATTTCAACAAAAGAGATAATATCAAACAAAGCATATAAAATGAAGACAAACATACTGAACATCAAATTCAAGCTTTTTTCAAATTTTTGCCATTTTAGATGTTTTCTTGAGAATGCTTTGAAAATGCCAGCTTTAGCATAATGATACCTTTTGAAATATCTCTAGTTTTAGAATTTATATGAAATTCAGTGGTTGTGAATGCTTGCGACGGACATCATCTTAAGAGAAGCTTCTGGGTGAATGTATTATGATAAATTGGTATAAACTGGATAATAAAAGTATCCAAAAAGATAATTCAACTTTTCAAGCTGTTGTATAAAAGATTTAACCGCTTTTATGATAAATAAAAAGTTATATGATGTTTATAACTGGACAATCAATTCTGACATTATAACTTCCAACGTCATTGTCAATTAGCAAGTGGTTAATGGGCAAACTTTACTCTGATTACTTTTCTTTCCTCGTAAGCAGTATTTGGCAATTCTCTGTCTAAATTTGTGAAAGTTACTACCAAGTTATGGAAGAATGTTAATAAAAGGTGAAGTCTCTAAAAGAGACCATTGAGATCTTTATTGCTACTCGACAATGACAGACAAAAAAGTGGTGGTGTAAGAAGAGATTTAACTGCCACAAGAATTTAATGTCTTTGTAAATCTAATCATGGTACGTTGTAAGGTGGTGAATGATAAAACTTTGTGAATTTTTTAAAGGGGATTATGTTAACAATAGATCAGTATTAGTAGAAAATTAGAAACTATTCAATAAATAATAAGATAACTTTCAGATTGATCTTGTTTTTCCTTTACTAAATTGTTGGAAACTTTCCAACTTCTTGAATTTTAATTTAGTCTATGGGAAGTTAGTGAAGTTATTGGCCTCCGGGATGCTCTTTACATGACGTTGAAGTTGATGAAAATTACAAATACTTTATGTTTACCAGATAAAATGAAGATTAAGTTCTCTAATCGTATAAAGACCTCATAACACAGACAAGCTCTTGAAGTTTCGTTTCCGGAATAAATAATGAAATTCTAGATGGACTTGTATTTAAGTTTTGTATCAACTCATGTTGTCCTTTAACTGCATCTTAAACGTGCTCACTATGAAGATGAAACGTGACAGTTTCTCTTAAGCTTCAACTTGCTCGTGGCAATTTAATTAATAGATAGAAATTGACATTTTCAACGCTGTCATATTTTCGATAATATTATACTATGAGTATTAATTAAACTAAATTCATAATTCTTGAAAATATTTATATCAATTTTGAAACCAATTTGTTAAGAAAAAAAATGAAACAATAAAGAAGTTAAAATTACATAGAAGAACTGGAGAGTAAAAGGTTGAGGGGATCAAGCAGTATAAAAGAGGAAGTGAACAAAAAATAAAGAGACGTAGACAGTGGACTCCACCAGTATACTCTGATACAATGAATTTTCGAGGAGTGTAATTTCCTGGCGGTACGATAGCGATAGCCATCGCCGCCGTGTAATCTCATACCCGCAATGGAGTGGCAGACGCTAATTTTCCTGGCGTCATAGCAATTTTGTAAGATTCACCTCGACGTTCCTAAAATATATGTAGATACATACATATCTAGACATAAATTTGTTTATATCAAAACATATGATGATGCAAAAAAAATTATATTTTTCGCTGAAAATATGAATATTTATATGCTTTCATTATTTTCACAACTAAAGAACAACTATTCCTCATTTTATGTGGATTCTGTGCTTTTAAATTCTTCCTTGTAAACGACTGCTTTGTATATCATCCAACAAATCAATATATGATATCATTCTTATTAATAGCAAAGCATAGTTTGCATTGTTTTCTTTCCTCTTAAATTGAAAAAACAAATTAATGAAAAATAAAGCATTTTTAATAGGTATTATTATTAAAATACTCTATTGTACTGTGTTTTAATTACACATCAATCATTTTTCAAACTCCATTGAAATTTTTCTCAAAAGCAGATGAACCTTTCACAACTCATCAAAAATAGTTCATATACAGTCTGTAGATAAAATAATTTTTCAAAAAATTGACGTAAATAATAACAAAAAAACAATTAACTTCCACTTACTTAAACCATGTTATCATTTTTATAATTTTAAATTAAAAAAAAAAAATAAACTTTATGAAAAATTTTATTTTTAATTAATTCTTCAATATATTTTTTTTAATAAAAAAAACGTTTCTATACTTGATTGAAAAAAAAATTTATTTTATTCATTTAAAAATTTTTGCTTTGAAATATTTAATTACACTAATGTATTTTTTTAAATTTTTTTAGCAATAAGATAAGCCAATCATGAATATTTTTTCATCAAAAAAGCTTCAAGATCATCAAGAAAAAAAATAGATCTAAATATTCACGCTCTGTTGGTGCTGCATTCGATTAGAAAATAACTGTCGATTGGTCTGCTTTGGATTTCACACTCCTCCCACATGCTGACATACTGGCTGGTATTAACCAGTCGACGTGTTTGCTGATAAGCCAGTCATAATCAGTGGGATTTGTTAATAAGTTGGAAAATACCGACTTAATGAAAAACGAGCACTTAGTAGTGTTCGACGTTGATTCAAATTAGTTTACACAGGATAGTCATTTCAGTAATTAACACAATCACATATTAATTCTATAAGTTATCATTTATCCTATTAAATGAGCATTTGCTTGTTGAATAATTGACATGGTGTGTTTATTAAATCCATGGAAATTTTTAGATCATTGGATTAACTTTAGAAACAATAAATAAATATTGGTAAAAGGAGTAAATTTGGAATTTGAGATCAAATAGAAAAGTTAAATTACTGGAAGAATTTATTTGGATATATTTTTAGTTGGGTGAGCAAGCAAAAATAAATACGATACAATGATTTATTCAAATTTCAAAGCATTCAGTTACAGGCTTGAAGATGAACAATAAATGTTGTGTTATTCATTGTTATCTTGTTGAGTGACTTTTATCTTTGTTCATCTTTCCGTTTTGGTTTGATTTTTTCTTTGCTATTTTATTTTTTCTCTTGTAGAGTCAGACGTTGCTTGTTACACAAGTAAGCTGTTACGGTGAGACACTTAATACACCTCTACTTGACATGGAATCACGTCACGAATAGTTGTTCAACAATACCAGTGATCTTCGATCTTCTAAGATCTTTGTCATTTTCTTTTTTGTGACCTGTTTTATCACAATACCTTTATGTCGCTCAGAGACACAAAGATACTTAACAATCATTATTTTATTGTCAAATTAATGACAGTTGCAATCAAGTATTGAGTATTACTATTTATACTTTATACCTCTGTTATGAAGTATTATCAATTGTGTCTAAGCGAATAATTCACTCCTCATAATGAAATAATTCTATTCAGCTTATTCCATACTGAGTTATCATTATTTCTTATTACTTTGATCTTTCAAGCAGAATTAACCTGTACGAATGAGTTTGTCAAGTATTCTAATACTGTTAAATTTCTCTTAAAGAAAATTTTATATTAATAAATTTCACACTATTGTCACACATCATTCATCCTAATTAGATGTTAAAAATATTCATGTGGAATAAAACTGTACATTTAATTTGTGTAAAATTTATCTTATTAATACTTTTATTTCTTATCACAGTTTTTTTTTTCGTAGGAATTATCAATAATTTTTATTATTGTGTAATAACAGGGTTTAGATAATGACAAGTTTCTAGAACATCCGCAATTTATTGCCAAGCTTCTTTTCAAATCAATAAACAGATGAGAATAATGATAAAATAAATATATCCGACATTTTTAGAGTAATAAATGAACAAGTTTTTTTTTAATTGTTAAGTGTTGTAGATTTTTAATTAAAGCTTTAAATCATATTTTATAATAGAAGACTTTTCAAACAAGTTAAATAATAAATTTTCAACTAACTTCCACTACATAATAATAATTAAGTTCTCTTTGACTCTAGCCTTTCTGTAACCATATTTTTGCCTCTCTTGTTGCAGGATGGTGTTGGTAGTGAACGGAGTGCTGCAGGAAGAGGTACCTGTGGATAGCAGGTCCTTGTATGCAGCACATCCAATATATCGTGAAACAGCAGCCCAGCTGCATTCAATGCCTGCAAAATTGGTGGGTCCAGTAGGTCTTCTCTATGTTCAACAAAGAGAAATGGCTGCAACACTTCCTCACGACAGTGAGTATTATCAATGAATGTCTTATAGAGCTAAAAAGAATGAATAAATAATTCGTTTGAAATTTATTGATATGACCTGCCATTATTACCAGAAAATTGTCCATAAATAAAAAAAATTTGTATAACATTGTGCTAGTTTTAATAATTGCTTTAAATTGAATAAAGTAACACAATAAATTACTCATAAAAGAGCAAATGTAATCAAATGTCGTAAAGATTATTATCGGTAATTCTCAGCATGGAGCAGCACTACCAATTACCAGTGAAATGCAATAAAGCTTGGTTATAAAAAACTGAGTATAATTTAGAAACATGACAAAAACACTTGTTAGTTTATCAGAAAACAAATATGATGTCTTTTCTTGCTAAGTATTTTAAATTGGCATGTAATGAGTTTTCTATGAAATTTTCGTTAATGAATTTTGCAAGAAATATATTTAGATGTGATAAAAATCAATGTTGATTTAATAATAAAATATGTTAATGTGAATTATAATTTTCCATGTTGTTAATGTAGAAATGATGTAACAGATAGCTTTGGAGTAATATTTCATCATATTATTGCATTGGTTGCATTTAGAAATTCAAATTCATCTTTATACTCGTTGACTTATTTTCTATTCTGTTTGAGAATTTTTATCTAAAGAAGAAAAAAATAAATTCCCTTAGAAAAATGTAACTCCAGTAAAAAAGCTTTCTCTACATTTATTTGCACTATTATTTTCATCATAATTTCAGTTTTTTCTTGATAAAAAGAGAATTTTTCCTTGGAATTTATCAGCAAGTGATAGTAATTATTCTTTTGAAATTGTTAAAAAAGTAATAAAATTCAGTGAACAAATATTTTTGTTTCAGAAAATGTCAATATTTTGGGATCAGACGACATGACAACATGCATAATTGTAGTGGTGCGACATTCTGGTACGTATAAAAGAGAAACTTCAATAACCAACATATTTCATTAACTTAATGAAAAACCTTTAAAGAAGTTTATAATTGAAAAATTAATATTCAAGCAGAAAGTAAAAGATTTTCACAATAAAAAAATTGTTACGAAAAATATCATTGTACTGTAAAGCGTGAAGTATGATATGTTCAGCTTATCCACGATTAAGTGTGCCTCTTCACGCTGTTCTATTCTATCCTTTTCTTCTCTATCTCCCTCTCATTTTAGAGATCTCTAAACTTCTTCCTACATCTTACAATATCTCATACACACTCGTATATCTATCTAGCTTTCTTGTTTTGCTGTCTAATATATATATATTCTTAGTCTTTCCGTAATAAACATCATGAATATCGGTGTCTTGCTTGAAATATGTCTACCAGTAAAAGGATTTCTTTTTGAAGTGTGTGGCAAAACAGTCGTTTTAAGTTCTAACAAACCGACTCTGGGAATATCATGTATAAGCATAAATTTAATAAATTATGCATTCATATGTTTGATAGGATCAGGTGCTGTGGCTTTAGCACATCTAGATGGAGCAGGGACTGAGGAAGCTGCATCCGCAATGGTCCAGAAGGTGACGGAACTAGCGCTGGGATTCCCTGAGGGAAGAGTTGAGCTTCAACTTGTAGGTGGATATTCCGATCCAAGAAATTACTCAGAAGAATTATTTTATAACATCCTTTGTGAGTAATGAAATTTTTAAGCTATGTGTACTCATGAAAAATGGGAAATTAATTAACTTAGATTCAGAAAAGTTGTAACAGACATTTATTCCTTGTGTTGTTGTCCATAGCTGCTTTTCACAGGCAACCAATCGAAATCGATTTGACATTGTGCTGTGTGGGCGAGCTTAATACGACAGTGAGAGGTGGAATTCATTGGCCTGTCATATATGGAATTGGGCTGAATGTCAAAACCGGCGAAATATTCCCAGCAACGTTTCCTGACAAGGGACCGGATCAAGCTTTGAGGGCGGCTAGGCACCTGACAGGCGGCCAGCAAGTGAGTACAATCTCACATTTTATACCTTGGGGAAAATAAAACAAAAAATATTCTTCCTTAGGTTTTGGACGTTTATGACTGTACTCTTGGACTTTTGAGAATTGGGCCATTCAATTATGATCCACTTCGTGGAGTAGATTTATGGCTAGCTCAGACTGATGATTTTATTCTCCGGCATCTCTCTACTTCACCAGATGTAGAGCCACCTCATTTTGTAGCTCAAGTATGAATATTCTCATCGTTATACAAGTATTACTCAAAAACATCGATTAATAATATTAATTGTATTTTTTGTCATTTCTTTAAAGATAAGAGCTACGTTAAAATATATTCAAGATAACCAATTTCCGGCTGTGACAGTCTTCCGAGATAACAGGCCACATTATTACCGCCGAGATGAAACAACTGGTGTTTGGCAACCGATCCGATATGACACTGGTTTTTAATAATAACCTTAAAGTGCTTCAAATACTTTCGTGCAATACTTTAATAAATAAATAAAGGCCACGATGTAAACTGTAAATTTAAATCACAAGTGAATTAATACATTTTTTTTTCATATTTTTATTACAAGTATCTCGAATTAACTTCGACTGTAATGTAATTAAAGGAATCTAGTATAGATGAATTATCACGATGAGTTTATATTTATGTGGCCTTTGATTCATTCTTTTAATCGTGGTGTATTCGTTGATACCTTTTAAGTTTGCCATAAAATGGAATTTTACTTTACTATGATGATGAATGGTAGAGAAATCAGAATATGATAAAGATGTACATATTTGTTTTATCAATGCTTGGCTAGCAAATTATTTAGACTAATTATAAGATTTGAAAATTGATTGCGTTTTTATTTGATTCACAAACAATTATTTCACTGTTTTCATATAAATCAAATATACTGTTATTATTAAAATGTTGATGAAAATTTATAAAATTAAATAAAAACGCCGTCCTCGAATTGTAATTCTATTATAAAGAAAAATAATACGATGAACGATAAGCTAGCTGGCCTGGACTAGACGTTAATAATATCATTCGTGATGAAAGCTTAAAAGTATATATTTTTACAAATTAATAATACGAAAAATGAAATATTGTGATCAATTATCTGGTATGTAAATAGAAGCATCACAAGCTCGTGACATATTTACATACTCAGTGAACTTTGTTATCGTTCTGTTATTTTTTATTTTCATTTGTCATTAAATTTTCAAAATACATAGAACGAGAAACTTTGTTCAATAAAAATACGTTAATTGTGTTATACAAAATGTCAAAAAAAAAAAATCAATAGAATGTAACGATTCTGGAAAGTTTCTTGGCCATGATGTAATTTATCACTTTCGACTTTGTTCAAAGTAAACTTTAATTTTCTTCATAGATCATATTTGCTTTTTCTCCTCTAGGAATTAAATATATTTTATTAAGTCTTTTTTTGTCAAACGAAAACGACTGTAATTTTAAACATTATTGGTGATATATTTATACTTATACATAAATAAATAAAGTTATAAAATGAAAGACATTTCATGAAATCTTTATTTTTTATTGGGTAGAAACAAGTGTACCTAATAAATATCTACATCGAAATTTGACACCTAATTTGAAGTAAGCTACCTTTAACAGCGAACCAATAACAACTTATTTAAAAGAAGGGTCTTAGTAAATCCCTTTTTCCCAGTTACAAAACTTTTAGAGAACTCCTATAAACTTTCCTAAATATTTCAAAAACTTTTTTTTCGTATAATCTAATCATATTCTCTTATCCAAAGGGGTTCGATCTCACATCTATAATTCCTTTTGTTCAATGCGAGGGTCTATAGAGCTTTCAAGGGGAAAAATAAATATAAATTTAAAGATATTATCAACTACGACGTACTAAAATTTGCACATTTATGTAAAACATCTTATTTATCAGAAATATATAAATTTTTTTTTCCTTCACAACATTAATATATTCCAAAAATAACGTTGGCAAATGAAAATTTAAATTTAGTGCTGCTGGAAAAAGAATTTATTACCCGAGAAATATTGCTACAATCATTTTTTTAATGAAATTACGATGAGAACACTTGGAATGAGATGGAAGAAAAATAGATAGGTACATAATATATCACAAGATAAATTCAATAATAGGTTATTAATACAGAAAACTCCAATATTGCTGCAAAAATGAATGTGTGAAATCAATTGTATTATACTACCCACTCAACAGGTTTCCTATCATCCTCTATTAATCTTTATATGCGAAAGTTTCTGCAGCGAAAAAAAATGCATTGTAATATTTACATATTTTCACATCCATAAAAAACATCAGCTTGGTAGGCAGTACATCGTTCTTGAATAAAAAAAACTAGGAAAATGCATCTGTTAACATACCATTACCATTTTGTTGATGAAAAGGGTTGTAGTTAATTTTATGCAAAAATATTCGTGAAAAATTTGGGTTGTGTAAATTAAGGGTAAAAAATGAAACTTTCAAAGAAAATCAAATAAAAATCTAGCTTACAATCAGTGTAAATTAGAGTGGAGTAAAAATCGATAACTGACTAGTTGATAGTAAGTTTGATCGATGCAATGTGTGTATTGTTGGGGAATGTTCATTTCTATAATAAACTTAATAACGAAAAAAAAAAAAGTTTTAGCGTAACGTCATTTATTTAACGAGTTATAAACAATCGAGGAGTATAAAAGGGATGGTATATACAAGATATATTGTACATATAAACCGCGCAGTGTAGTTTTCGCGCATGTCATCTTCTTGTTGTCAGTAACGCACAGAAGGGGAATAACACGGCAGTTTTCAACTGTTTTCAACTCCCAGTGCCGCACCGTCTACACGTCTGTATGCACCTTTTTCAATTATCTCTCCGTTACTTCCGATATAAATTTTTTTCATTGTCACTGTAATTGATATTTGTACGATATTTTGAATGAAAAATAATTTTCATTAAAACGCCATACATTATTATTATCTTAAATGTGATTTCATCAGGATTGTTTGCTGGGTAAGTGAATCTTTTATTACATTTAAAGTATTTATTTCCTTAAATAAATTTACAAAAAATAATATGACATGGAATATAATATTTTTAATAATTTTCTATTCACTGATTATACGAGTATTTTGTCGATTTAACGTGGTGTAATAAAAGGGGAATGATTAAAATGATTATATATCCCTTGGTTCGTTAAGACAAAACATGTAAGATGAACAAAGGCATTTAGACTACCATCTTACGAACGTGTTTATTATTCTCGCTTCTTCATAATAGTCTGATCTAGTTTATAAATTAGTATTCATGAGAATAACTAAAATTAATGAAAATTCATATTCTGAAAACGACCAATTATTTTTTGCAATATCTGAATAACATAAAATTATGAATATTTTACACTTTTGGGAATTACAAATGCTATATTACATTAATTAAAATCAAACTTCATATTTACATCGCAAAATTACTTCATGAATATTTATTTCACGAATTATTTTTTCATGTTGATTCATTTTCGTGTATGAATTACATCCGAAATAATGTTAAATACTGTTGTGTCCATTAAAGATATTCTGATGTCAATTATCCATTTTCAGCGATATAATTATTACTCAATAATCATTAATCTTCAACCATTAAATGATGAAACTTGTAATTAAAAAATGTATTGCAAAAAAAACAGTATTAATTATCTTTGGAGTATTTTTAAATATATAATAATTATAAAGAAAAGTTCAAATTTATAAATAATAAATGAAAATGAATGTGTTATAAATGAAGTGAATTTGACAATAAAAGCTCAGTGAGAGACAAATGGAAAAATGAAATCCGTAGTGTGTCTAATACAGAATACATTAAAAGTTAGTCAACTTTGTGAATCAACTGATATGTTGATCATGACTTAAATATTACAGATTAATTCATAAACTCGAATAGTCAAGTGAATTCTCCAATTTGATATTGTTAACTAGACACCAAAGCGTGTTTAACATATATACGTATATCGACATGTTAACCGGAGAGCGTTTCAGTTGCTTCGACATATGTACTTGTAGGTTTGTGCTTCTTGTTGCAATGAAATTTCATTTTAGTACACTCCATTATGGGCTCGCATATACCTGGCAAACTTCTAATTACATATTCCTACAGCTAGCAGGCAAAATGTGCTAAGTAAATATCAACGATACAAGTAAAAACGATGAAAAGGCGTAATATAATATGACAAATAGTAACACGGCACAAGAAAAAGTTGCAACGTCAAGAAAAATAAATTGCTTCTATTTATGTAGTCATAGAAAATAAAAATTAAATAATTGGAAAATTTAAATAAGAAGGACTAGATGTAAGCATAGTTATAGGTAACTTTAGCGCAAAAGTTAAATTATACGTCACTTACACTTACAAATTATCGTTGCTTTAATTATAATTTTTCATTTAGTCGCCTTTTTCACGCCCTTGATAATTAATTCGTCTTCAATACTTTGACCCATAATCTAGATTTTTTTTCCTGAATGCATTAATTTAAAGCAAACAAGTATAAGTTTCTTTAATAAGCAAAGTAAAAAAATTAAAAAAAAAACAAATTTCTTTTTTGGATAATAATTTTGTGAATCAAATAAGAATAATTATTTTAATTAATCTTATTGAGAAATAATAGAAAAGAAACATATTTTTCAATAGCATCTATTGTTGATGAATTGAATTTACACAAAATGATACCATCCGATTTTTTAATTTGAAAATGCTAAGTACAATACTCAAGTTCAATACAAAGTAACTTTTATTTCAATCTTAACATTGGCTTGATGACCTTGGGTAGATGTTTCCACTGCTAGAGTCTATACAATGCCTAACAAAGAGCATCGACAATACGGAAATGGCAAAGAATATAAGCTCAACAGTTGTCATTTAACATTCTCTCTCGCACGATGACTCATTTTCTGTCCATTTCTTTTATCATATTCTCCGCTTTTTATAAAATGAAAATTTTTTTTTTCATAAACATTCCTATTGATTTATGTGTAATATTAAGAAATAGTCTGCATAATTTTGTAATTTATATGAAATACACGTTCTTCCCTTATTCTTTCCTCCCTTTTATTCAAATTGCTTTTTTTTTATACAAGTGCACTTATTCGCCAAGTGAATACTTGACAATAATACCGTTAATCTTATTGATACAAAACAAAATAAAAAAAAATAAATCTTCATTATCAATTTTTTTCTAATTTAAATATTAAATATTAAAATGATATGGAAAACAATTCAATATCGAGATATTACATTTTTTCTACTGCTTGTTTTCATAATTGACCATAATCACAAAAGCTTTTTTATTCACGCTGGAGATATTTAATTTCAATTGAATGGATTTATACAAAATTTAAATTGAAATTACGATTGTTTTCAAACAGAAATAATTTTTTAAATAATTGTTTCATTTAACTTGAAATAAAAAAATAATAAATAAATAAATAATCCTCCAATACTGTTACACATGAAATATATGCTTAAAATGAAATACAAGTGTTTTTAATAACGAGCTTAATTATTATTTTTTAATTTGATAATAATAATATTTCAACTGTTGATGAGAACTTTATTAAAGCTACAAAAATCATAAGAATTATTTTGTTTCAATAAATATCAATCGTTGTATAAAATCTACTTTTTTTTTGCTATCAATCTATTTTTTTCTCAGATATTTACACTAGCGAATATTATTTTGAAAGAATATTTCCCATCAAGACCGTCTATTTTTCTAGATTAATTTCAAAAAAAGGAGTTATATTCCTTCATCTTTTATTATTAGGTTTATGTTACCTGTTATTTCTTTCATTATTATTTTTTTATAACTATTTCCATCTGTAAAGAATAATATATATTTCAAAGAAATGATCAATAATCGGGTTGAGCGTAAAAAACTATAATAAAACTAGTAAAACTAAAAAAAAACATTAATTAAAAAAAGAGATAAAGATGAAAAGGATCGGTTACGTTTGAAAATGTGTCTATTTAATTTGTCCACTGTTCCAGAGTTCATAGTATTTTTTTATTCAGTAAGCTCTACATAAAAGAATTTGAGTTTGTAATTTTTTTAAATGTCAAATTGGTACGAATATGAGAAGGCTTAAACGTGACAGATACAATTGAGTTTTTTTTTTAGAGTCATGTCACCAGGCTTTACTCACTTACATTTTCTAGTAATGTAACTAATCGAACATAAAGTCCATGAAGTATGCACTTTTATTTCGTAGAAAAAAGAGAGATGAATTTTTTTAAAAATAAAGTTATTTTTTAAAGTAAAGAATTTTGACGAAAACACGTTAGTGAAAGGTTCTATAGGTTTAACACCGAAAAAACATCAATCTCATGTCTACCCTGAGACTTCTCACGAAATTTATGAGTTGCAAAAGTTACCTGTGGAAATATGTAATTTCCTCATTCATAATGTCATTCTCGATGAAAAGTGGCAATATATAAAGTTACTAGTACAGTATTTTCTGTATAACATTTCAATATATATTGAATAAATAATCTTTGAATTTTCTATAAAAAAGATGCTTGATAAAGAAGGCTTTTTGATGAAAGACATTTTACACTCATCAAATATCTTTACATATTTAACAAGTCAATTATTACACTCATCAATCAGGTGGTAGGTATATGATGTAGCTACTCGAGTGTTCATTTATTAAGATTATTATCAAGTTTATTCAATTATACTCCACTATGATATTTAATAGGATTCTCTCAAGAATACTTCATTCTGCATGATATGTGGATTTGTGATTAATAATGCTGATGCCAAGGATATTCATGCTGATTGAGATTTCATTATTATTTTTAGATCGTTGATCAAATAAATGTGTACTTCTTGTTCTCAATAATATTCTATCCTTTTCGAGTATTTAAACTTATGCAAATGAATATCTCGCGATTGTTGAGATGCTTCATTGAAAATATTTTTCTTTTCTAAAATCATCTTTAAAAATAAATATGTTCCTCTTTTATCAGTGATATTACAGCACAATACCAATTGTAAGATAATTTTTCTCAACAATAAAATATTTTTATCAATAAAATGACTGAATTATATTAAATTTCAATGATATATTTATTGAAATTGTTTGACAAATTATTTTATATTAAAATATAGTTTATTACGGTAGTTATTAAATCTATAAACTTTATAATTAATTTAATGCTGTAGCTATATGAAAAAAATTTATTTTTGAAGGAATGAATTCGAAGAATATTTGCTCATGAAAAATTATTTTTATCATGCTTTTAATTGCCTCATAAATTTCTTTTTGATATAAATATTTCCTAATTTTTTCGATTACGAAAAATGATGTGTAATGTCCATATGTCAAGAAAAAAATCAAATTCTTCTTTTGTTGATGAATTTAATGTATCGTCTATATACAACTAGCAACATACTTATCCATAATATCACCCATACACGTAGAGCTTTTATTTGTAGGGTCATTGTCTTCATCGATTTTCAAATAGCCGACATAACATAATGTTATCAACTGCGTCGCCACAATATCCGAACGTAACATAAAAAATTGCACGCACACAAAAAAAAACTTGGATAAAAAGCAATAATGAGGGATGATATCATTATATAGCAAGCTTTGGGTCTGTCTATACTTCTAGCTAGACATCAATAACACTTGATAAAGCTTTGGCCTATGCTACTTTAGGGAGAAGGTAGGGGAAGAGAAAAATTGTCACGTACATCTGGAAAAAAAGTTTTGAAACAATTCATATCATGCAACAGAATGAAAAAAAATATATCTCGACTAATACACTCATTTGATTAAATAAATATCACCGAATAAATTTTTTTCTGTTTCAAATATCTAATAATTGAACTGACAGTTTAATTGATGTGTCGAGTCGATTAATTCTTTTATTACCCAATAAACAACAAAGAAATATTTTTAAAAAGCTGATGTATTCATCTTTCTGGCTTTATTATTTCGATATTTCCGTAATAG